AGCAGATGGAAGACCTCTCTCTCTCTCTCTCTCTGTCTCTCTAACTCTAACTCTAACTCTAACTCTAACTCTAACTCTAACTCTAACTCTAACTCTGCCTTTGAAATAAATAAATCAGAGAGAAAGAAGGAAAGAACCTGACTCGGTGGAGTCACACCCCGAGGCCTACCAGCGCCAGCGTCCACACTTGCTGGGGGCCAGCAGCCCGCGACCTCCCAGCACCTCCGCCTTGCACCCTGGAGCCCGGCTCGTCTGCTCTCTGCGGGCGTGCGGGCTTGTCCTGCTCTCATGCACACTCTGAAATGCCCTGAGCTCGCCCACGGCCGCCGGTTGCTGCTGTTTGGCCTGTGTTGACCTCGAATGGGGGTGTCCCCTGCGGGAGATGTGTTTCCTCTCAGGAAGACGTGAGGGCTGCCAGCCGGGAGGCAGCCCCGAGAGGGTGGTGGGCTCTGCCTTGCTGTGGTTGCCTGGGTGGGTGCCTGTGGTTGTCAGGGCTCTGGACGCTGTGCTGAAGCCCCAGGCGCCTGAGTTCCCACCTGCTGGGTCACTCTCCAAATGCCTGCAGCAGCCGGGGCCACACCCGGGGAGGAGTGGGGGACGCGACTGGGGACTCCCAGGGAGGGGTGGGGGACGCGATGGGGTCTCCCAGGGAGGGGTGGGGGACGTGATGGGGTCTCCCAGGGAGGGGTGGGGGACGCGATGGGGTCTCCCAGGGGAAGGGGTAGGGGATGCGATCGGGGTCTCCTGGGGAAGGAGTGGGGGACACGATCGGGGTCTCCCGGGGAGGGGTGGGGGATGCGATCAGGGTCTCCCAGGGAGGGGTGGGGGACACGATCGGGGACTCCAAGGGTAAGGGGTGGGGGACGCGATCGGGGACTCCCACGTCGGTGGCAGGAACTGTCACCTGAGCCATCACGCTGGCCTCCCGGGGTCTGCGTTAGTAGGAAGCTGGAGTTGGGCCGGAAGCGGGACTCAAACCCGGGCTCGGAGTGGGCGTCTCAGCTGCTAAGCTAGACGCCTCCGCCCCGTGGGCCCCCTTGATGCATAGGTTTCAGGCTTTACTTGCTCCAAAACAAATGTGTCTTTTAACTGGTTGTGCCCAAGAACTTGAGAAAGCTCCCTCGTGGAGGACGATAAAGCGTGCCCACGGAGCGGCCGCGCTGCGTCTCAGAGATGTTGCTGGACCAGGGAAGGAGGGGCGGGGGAGGCAGCAGAGCCGTGCGCCAGCCTTCGGGATGGCACGAAGCTTCTGGGCCGCCACGGAGGGTTCCAGAACGGCCACTTCCCGCTCACGTCTCCTGCGTCTCGCGTCCTGGCCGAGGCGCCTGGCCGACTGACCCCAGGCACTGAAATCATTGACTGTGTGGTTGCCAGGCAAGTGAACGGGGGCTGAGAGGCTGTGGCTTGTCTCGGGCAGGCAGAGCCTGTCCCTGAGAGCGGGCAACACACCGACCCCTTGTCCTCCTGCTCCCCTGGGGGACGGACGGACACCCCTGTAGCTGGGCTTCCTCCCGCAGCACGGCCCCGCCCTCCCAGCTAAGGAAGCTTCTGCTTCCCTCCACCAGAGAATCCTCTGTAAACTTTTCCCATCTAAGAATAACTTGTAGTTACACACACACACACACACACACACACACACACACACACAAGCTCCCTGGTGCAGAGAGCTCCCGTTCTTGCCTGCCAAGAGGCAGGCCCAGCTGGCCCCGAGCCGTGCTCAGCGGCGGCGTGACCTCTCTGCACCAGGCCTCCTTGGGCCTCTGGCTGTGGACAGACTGTGTCTCGCCTTGGCGCCTGGCGGCGTGGGTTCACATCTCCAGTGCTTGGCCCGGGTGTCCGACGTCGCCCGGTGCGCTGACTCGCACGCCTTCCCGCCCCGAGCGGCTCCTTTTCTGGCTTTGCTGCTTGCTGGCTGTGGGTTCCGTGTCGCGGTCTCCACGTCGGTCGGCTGGGGACGGGGTCCCCGCCTGCCCCGAAGGAACCAAGGGGTGCGTGGGCGCCGCGAGGGCTGCACTGGGCACGTGGCGGCTGCCGTCCACCGTCTCCTGGCCTCTCCTCTCCTGAGCCCACACCCGCCTTCTTCCCCTTGTCGGGGGGCTCGCAGCCGGGCCAGGTGGTCATCTTCACCCAATATCCAGCCTGCCCTTCCCCCCCCCCCCCCGGAACTTCTGCGTTTTGCTGGGATTTGAGCTCCGCGAGTCCCAAGGACTTCTACACACCCTGCAGCTGGCAGGTGCCCGGTCCAGCTGCTGTGTGACCCGGGCTGCCCCATCGCAGCACCGTTTGATCTCTGTGAGGTCCATGCGTGTCCCCTGCGCGTGTCCCTAAAGCCCCAGATGTCCCCAGATGGACACGTTGCAGGAGTGGCTTTCTGTGACGGGTGCGCCTCTCACTCATGGCTTGGTGTCTGGGCCGAGAGAGTCGAAGTTGAGGGCACCCAGCTAAGCGTAGGTCTCACAATGATTACAGCCGGACCTTGTTGGATGCTTTCTATGGCTCATCGCTTATGCCATTAACTCCTCACAGTTATGCCATGGCTGCCCGTTTTGTAGATGAGAAGACTGAGGTAGAGAGCGGCTCAGGAACCTGCTAAAGGGCATGGAGAGCTGCCTGGCTGCTCTGGCTGTTTCTAGAATGTGGACTTTGGGGAAATAACTTAGAAAACAACAGAGACAGGATTCGGGCAAGCCTGCTGTTAGAGCTTTCCTGGTTTGCTTTGTTTTAATATTTATTTATTTATTTGAAAGAGAGAGAGAGAAAGAGAGACCAATCTTCCTTCTTCTGGTTCACACCCCGGGTGGCCTCTGTGGCCACAGCCAGCGCTGGGCCAGCCCAAAGCCAGGAGTTAGGAGCTTCATCCAGGTCTCCTAGGCTGGTGCAGGGGCCCAAGCACTTGGGTCACCTAGTCACCCGCCACTGCTTCCCCAGGCCCAGTAGCAGCCTGCCAGAGCAGAAGTGGAGCAGCCAGGACTTGAACTAGCGCCCGTATAGGATGCCTGTGCCGCTGGTAGGAGCTTAATCTGTACCCCCGCACCTGCTCCTGAATGTTGATGTTTGAAAACATTTTATTTGAGAGACAGAGGAAGGGAAAGAGTTAAAGGGATATCCCGTCTGCTGGCTTGCTCTCCACATGTCTGTGATGGGCAGAGCTCAGCCCAGACCACGGGAGGGTGATAAGAATCCAACTACTTGAGTGTCACCTGCTGCCTTCCGGAGTCTGGTTATCAGGAACCTGGAATGGGGAGCCCCACCAGGAGCGAGCCTGGCACTGCAGAGTGTGGTGTGGCTGTGTTTTCCACTTCCGTAGTATTTCTGTTAGCATGCAACTTCCCAGAAGTTGTCGGTTCAGTGGCAATGGCTTGTTCTCATGCTAAGTCTTAGTAAGGTAAGGTGCGACATCTAAAAATGTATTCTGCTGGAAACAGCAAAGTGGTGTTCGCCGCGTGTGAAAAACGTATGTTCTCAATGCCATAGCGAGGCTGAGGAGTTTCTTCATGCTTGTTCATGAATTCACACGGGATGAAGTGAACCTTGGTCACGTGTGCCGGGTACCCTGGTGCCAGCCTGGACTTTGTTTTGGAGAACGTCAGACATGCAGAGAGCAGCCCCAGGACCGTATGAGGCCCTGTCCGCTCGTCCCTGGGTCTCAGCAGCGGCCCTGCGTGCACCCCTCCCCCTTTATTACGTGTCAGCAGATCCCGTGCCTGATCCCGTGCCTGATTCCATATCTTTATGAGGCTGACTCACGGCTCCTGTGCTTCCCTCCCTAATGATCCCAGTATCTCTACAAGATAAAGGCGTGACAAGATGATAACCACGTCTGTTTAATTTTAAATGTGGTCAAACCAGCCAAGTTTGCCTTTGGATTACTTTTCACTTTTTAAACGTTTATTTATGTGAAAGACAGAGATCTTCTATCTGCTGGTTCACTCCTCAAATGGCCACAACAGGTGGGGCTGGGCCAGGCCAAAGCCAGAAGCCAGGAACTCCATCCTAGTCTCCCATGAGGATGGCAGAGGCCCAAGTCCTTGGGCCATCTTCTGCTGCCTCCCCAGGTACATTTGCAGGAAGCTGGATCAGAAGTGGGGCAGCCGGGTTGAGCTCATGCTGGTATGGGATGCTGGCCTCACAGGCAGGGGCTTAACCCACTGCACTGCAACACTAGTCCCTAATTTTAATCTTTTTAAAGATTTGTTCGTTACTGACTTGAAAGAGTGGTGGGAGAGAGGGAGCAGACAGGGAAAGAGATCTCTTTTTTTTTTAATTTTTTTGACAGGCAGAGTGGACAGTGAGAGAGAGACAGAGAGAAAGGTCTTCCTTTGCCGTTGGTTCACCCTCCAATGGCCGCCGCGGCTGGCACACCACGCTGATCCGATGGCAAGAGCCAGGTGCTTCTCCTGGTCTCCCATGCGGGTGCAGGGCCCAAGGACTTGGGCCATCCTCCACTGCCTTCCTGGGCACAGCAGAGAGCTGGCCTGGAAGAGGAGCAACCGGGACAGAATCCGGCGCCCTGGTGTGCCAGTGCTGCAAGGCAGAGGATTAGCCTAGTGAGCCACGGCGCCGGCCCGGGAAAGAGATCTCTTCACTAATTCATTCTCCAGATGGCCACAATGGCCAGGGCTGGGTCAGACTGCATGAAGCCAGGAGCCAGGAGCTCTATCCGGGGCTCAAGCACTTGGGCCGTCTTCTACTGAGTTGTCCAGGCGCGTTGGCTGGAGCTGGATCAGAAACAGAGTGGCTGGGATTCGAACAGGCGTCCACGTGGGATGCTGGCACCAGAAATGAGGCAGGCACCTACTTTGCTTTTCTCCTTTGCAGAGAAAGGTTTCTCTCAAAGGCCAGGCAGGGGAAATAGAGAAGTGGCCTCCGTCTAAGAGAGAGAGAGAGAGAGAGAGTGAGCGAGCGCCCTCGTGCTTGGAGCGGGGCTCACGGGCCAGGCACGGCTGGCAGGAGACGGGGACGGGAGGGGCCTCACCTTCTCCGGCTTTGTGCCCTTGCAGGTGCATATGGCCACCATGAAGCTGCTGCGCCCAGTCCTCCCTGGCTACTTCCTGCTGACCCTGCTGGGCCTGTGGAGAGCCGCCCCCGAGGCCCACGCCGCGGCCACCGCCACGCCGGCCATCAGTGCTGCCTCTTTCCTGCAAGATCTCATGGACCGCTATGGCAAGGGGGACAGCCTCACCCTGCTGCAGCTGACGACCCTGATGAACAACCTGCATGTGGGAGTGGACCGGGAGAACGCGACCCAGCCCCCGCAGGGCCGCGGGAACCTCTCCACGGTAAGGCGCGCTCTGGGGCTGCAGCTGGGCTGGGTCCAGGATGGCTGAGCGGCATGGCGTGGGTTGAGAGGGGGCAGGTGGGTCTTGGGCCAAGTGCGAGTCCCGAAGGCTGGCCGTGAAGCCGGGGGCTCAGCTGTGCTGGGAGTACTTGGAGCTCCGGGACACCCTCTGTGCTCCATCCTGGGTGCACCTTGCAGTCTGTCCAGGGGCAGGTGTGTATTAGCTACCTCCTTCCGTGACCTAAACTACCTGAGAGGGGCGCCCCGTGAGGGAAGGAGGTCTCACTGCAGCTCACCCTTCGGGAGGTCCACAGATGAAGGTGGTGCATGGTGGGCGGCCTCCTCCCAGGTCATGGGGCTCCACCCAGCAACCCAATCCAGTCCCCTCGCTTCCCAAAGGCCCCGCCTTCAGATACTTCAAAGTGGGTGGAGCCTCCGGCATTAATCCATTGGCCCTTGACCTAAGACTTCGGCACTTTTGGACTGCTGGGGTGGGGGAAGCCAAATCCTATTCAAACCCTAAGTGGCACGGGGCGGGCACTGAGTCCCACGGTGAGCTCCCGGAGGGACTGGCAGAGAACGGAGGGAAGCCGGTCTTTGGCTCCTGGCTCTGGGCTGGTTCTCCCGGATCACCGAGCTCACGGCTCCGCAGAGTCCAGGCCGCCTGTGGCAGCCACACGCACGCCAGGCAGCAGAGTCTGTGCCTCAGCCCTGCTCCCTGTGCCCTGTGCACGGTGTTGTGAGGGGGAGGGGAGGGCTGAGGACCCAAGGAGTTCACTGTCAGGGCAGCATGAGCAGCAGAGAGCAAGGCCAGCCGGGCTTGGACCGAAGCCTGGCGTTGTGGGTTGTGCAGTACCCATGGGATGCAGACAGGAGAGCAGGGGATGCGTGCGTGTTGGAGCCGTTGGAGACTGTTCAGGGAGGAGGTCTCCAGGGCTGTACCTTGAGGCTGTTGGCAAGAGGATGGACCATGCGAGGCTCAGGGTGCGTGTGTGTGTGCACGTGTGTGTGCACACGTGCATGTGTGTGCGTGTGTGTGTGTGGTGGGTCAGAGACCATGTGAAGCTCAGGGGTGTGTATGTGTGTGTGTATGTGTGTGTGTGTGTGGCGGGTCAGAGCCTGGCCTAGAGTCTCAGGGCCTGCCTTGGTGGCGGCTGCAGCCTGAGGCCCCCGAGGTCCAGCCCTCGGCTCTCTGGGCACGCGCATGTGTGCGGCTGCGCCTACAGGGCCAACCCTCGGCAGCAGCTCAGGCAGAACCAGCTCCGGAGAGGGCTGCTGAATATGTGGATCAAGTCTGATCAGAATAGAGCTGCAGTTTCCCAGGAGTGCCACGTGGGGGCACGCCCACCACGCCTCCCAGGGGGTGGAGAATCCGGCATCTGCATCATGCAGCCAGGCGAGGCTGCGGCCAAGTCGGTATCGTCACCTAGGCAGATAGCACGGTGTTTTCCCGAAACCATACCCAGATCGCGGTGGCCAGGATGGAGTTGTTCTCACTGCCCCCCGGGCAGCCGATGACCGCTGGGTGTGCTTGGCCCGGGCGAGCGGCCCCCGCGGGTTCTGAGAGGCCTCCGGCCGCCCCTTCTCGTGCAGTGCTTCAGCTCCTGGGACCTGTTTGCTGCCCACAACCTCAGCGAGCAGTCCCGCATCGGGAGGCGCGAGCTCCAGGAGTTCTGCCCCACGGTGCTGCAGCAGCTGGATTCCCGCGCCTGCACCTCCGAGAACCAGGGGAACAAGGAGGACGAGCAGACGGCAGAGGGCGGGCCGAGCGCCGTGGAAGGTGAGCCAGGCGGGCGGCGCCGCACGCTGGACCCCTGCTGCGGAGGGGCACGGCGGCCCTGCGGGGTCTCGTGTTGGCAGAACTGGTCTAGTGCTGTGCGAGGGTCCTGGGTGGGTGTCGAGAACGTTCACCGCAAGACTTGCCCCCCAGCCTGAGGATGCCTTTTTTTTTTTTTTTTGGTCTATTTTTCTTTTTTGCTTTTTTTTTTTTTTTTTTTTTTTTGACAGGCAGAGTGGACAGTGAGAGAGAGAGACAGAGAGAAAGGTCTTCCTTTGCCGTTGGTTCACCCTCCAATGGCTGCCGCGGTTGGCGCGCTGCGGCCAGCGCACCGCGCTGATCCGATGGCAAGAGCCAGGAGCCAGGTGCTTTTCCTGGTCTCCCATGGGGTGCAGGGCCCAAGCACCTGGGCCATCCTCCACTGCACTCCCTGGCCACAGCAGAGAGCTGGCCTGGAAGAGGGGCAACCGGGACAGAATCCGGCGCCCCGACCGGGACTAGAACCCGGTGTGCCGGCGCCGCTAGGCGGAGGATTAGCCTAGTGAGCCGCGGCGCCGGCCTCTTTTTTGCTTTTTTTGTTAAGCCACAAAGGGGCTAACGCGGGGCCGGTGCTGTGGTACAGTGGGAACAGTCGCCGCCTGTGGCACCAGCATCCGGTGTGAACACCGGTTCAAGTCCCGGCTGCTCCACTTCCCATCCAGCTCCCTGCTAATGCTCCTGGGGAAGCAGCAGAGGATGACCCGGGTGCCTGGGCCCCTGCACCCACGTGGGAGACCCAGATGAAGCTCCTGGCTCCTGGTTTCAGCCTGGCCCAGCCCCAGCCACTGTGGCCATTTGAGGAGTGAAGCAGGTGGATGAAAGATCTCTCGCTCACCCCCCACCCCACTTCTGCCTTTCCAATGAATAAATTAATAAATCTTTAAGGAAAAAAAAGAAGGAGGGAGTGGGACTCACACCTCGGTCTCAAAAGAAAAACTTGGAGCTCGCATCCCTGGGTTCACTCCCCAGATGCCCAGAGAGGCCGGGCGTGGGCAGTGGCCCGGTTACTTGAGCCATCACCCTTGCCTACCAGAGACTGTGTTCACAGGGAGCTGGATATGGAGTGGAGCTGGGATTCGAACCCAGGCACTCTGGTCACCGGGTGCCGGTCTCATCCCAACTGCCAGGCCAAATGCCCGCCCAGTGGCTTCTCAGTGCAGCCCCTGAGCCGTCGTGGTGTGTGCTGGGGCTGCGTCATCCCCAGCCCCAGCGTCCCCTGCACCCTCCCGCAGGCCCCGGGCCACGGCGGCCGCCCTCGGTAACGGAGGCCCCGTGTGTTCTTGTTCCTCCGCAGTGTGGGGCTTCGGGTTCCTCAGTGTCTCACTGATTAACCTGGCCTCTCTCCTGGGAGTCCTCGTCCTGCCGTGCACGGAGCGGGTGTTTTTCAGCCGCGTGCTCACTTACTTCATCGCGCTGTCCATTGGAACGCTGCTCTCTAACGCGCTCTTCCAGCTCATCCCAGAGGTGCAGTAGATCAGCCCCCCCGCGCCCGGCGCCGCCCCCCACCCCGGACCTCCGGGGCCTTCTCTCACTGCTCCGGGCACTGGGGTCAGATGCAAGGCTCTGAGCTGGGTGCAAGTCCCGCCCCTCCCATGCCGGGCAGCTCCCGGTCTCCCCGCACTGCACCGTGGGTGTGGGTCTCAGGGCAGCCCCGAGGCGTTCTCCGCCTGCAGTGAGGTGGGAGGAGGTGCCGTGAGCTGTGGGCACACACAGAATTGGCCTGGACAAGGGCTGTCCTTTGTGACTCCCCCTCCCCCCCAGCCACACTGGCGGGGCTTTTTGGCCAGGCCTGGACAAAGAAGCTCACAGATGCCCAGAGGCGAGAGGGGCGGGCCCCGAGGCCCCCAGGTCTTGCATCTTGAGTTTCCTGCTGCGGCTGACTTCCTGGTGCCCTTCCTGGACTGTTTTTGAAAAGTTTCTTAATTTGGGGTCTTAATTGTCATCACTGAGGAGCTCTAAAAAATACCACCCGAGTTGACATCTGCCCGCCCGCCTGCCCGCCTGCCTTTTCAGCTCAGGCCAGGACGCTGCTGGAGACGGGGCGGGGGGTGCCGGCACCTGGCGGACCCCTTCGCAAGGGTCCATAAAGAGCCCGTGACTATGGCTCTCCAGCCCTTCCCGGTCAAGATCGGCCCAGAAAGAGTGCCGGGTGGGACCACGTGCCTTGCCTGTTCTGTCCTAATTACAGGGGAAGTGGCTTCAGGCTGAGCAACCATCCTAGAATTCCACTTGGATCTCGCAGGCGCTTGGCGAGGCAAAGGGACCACGGATGCTCACCTCGGGGGTATTTTTTCCAGCTCCTGAAATCGATTGTATTAATTTAAAAAAAAAAAAAAAAGACTTGCAATGAAACGCCTTGTCGCCGGTTGGAACGGAAAAGCGCCACCATCGTCCGGGCCCTGCGCTGTCCCGGCTCCCCTGTGTCCCGCCTTTTCTGGGCCTGGACTTGGGGCCCAGAGCGGGGCCTGCTGGGGAGCACTGAGAGGAAATACTCTGTGACGGGGGCACCCTGGAGCTCTGAGGCTGCCTGGCTCCTCCTCTGAGCAGCTGGAAACACAGACCACCAAGAGTCTTAGCAGCGGGGTTTAGGGGCCTTGGGCTTGATGGGCATGGGTCGTGATGGGCATCAGGTCTTGGACCATGCCCGAGCGAAGCCACGCCCCGGGGGTGCGGCGAGCAGGGACCTCCCGCTTGGTCCTGTTTCCTGGCAGCGAGAGCCTCTGCCACAGGCTCAGCCCACCCCTGCCCTGCCCTCACCCCTCCCTGCTGGCCGCAGGGGCTCTAAGCAGGCACCAGGCTCCAGGGTCCCCTCGGGCTCCTCCTTGTTTCCGCTGAACTGATTGAAGGGGATGTCATCGGAGCTGAATCACTAACAAATGTTCTGTTTCTCTCTCCCTCCCTTCTTGTCTCTCTCTCTCTCTCTCTCTCCCTCTCTCTGATTCTCCGTGTCAATGCCCACCTCCACTGCCCCTGGTGCCTCCCCATCCCTACCCCGCCCTGCCCCACCCGGTGGCGGCCCTCCTCCTGTCCCGGGCTGGGGCTGGGGCTGGCCCTCCCGCCGGCAGTGTGGGGATACGGTCTCCTGTGTGTGACCGTCATCTCCCTCTGCTCCCTCATGGGGGCCAGCGTGGTGCCCTTCATGAAGAAGACTTTTTACAAGCGGCTGCTGCTCTACTTCATAGCTCTGGCGATTGGAACCCTGTACTCCAACGCCCTCTTCCAGCTCATCCCCGAGGTATGGCCGGCCAGGGCCGTCTCACCCGTCCCCCGCCCCGTGCACACGGAAGGCAGAGTGTGTGTGGGGGGACCCCGGGGTCCTTTCCTTCTGGACAGCGAGGCCAGCCAAGGCAGCTTGGCGAGCTGGTTCCGGACCCCAGTGGCTTCTGCAGCCTTGGGCCAAGCCCCTTACCCCGACCCCCTTACCCCCAGAGCATAACGAGAAGACCCATCTCAGAAGGAAGCTGTGAGTGTTGGAAGGGGTGCAGAGAGGGCTCAGACACATTGGCAGAAGCCGGGGGGCTCAGTCTGAAGCCCCAGTTCTCAGGAGGGAGCTTGGGGCAGCGCTGTCCACATCCCGCACAGGCAGGACTCACGTGCACTGGCTGTGCCTCCGGCAGTGGGAAAAGCCAGTGAGGGAGCAGGCAGCCGGGGGTCTGTAGGGCTGCCAGCTGGCAGCCTTGGGGTTGCACCTGTGCCCCTGCGGTTTCTGGGGGAGACACTGTGAATGCAGCCCGGGTAAAGCCGCAGTTGGAACAGAACGAGGACTCCCCGCGTTTCCCTGCAGGAAACGCCGCCTTCCCAAAGGCCGCGCCGTGTTCTCCTAGCCGGTCAGCCCTGGCGGCTCTCGGGCCGGGGCTTTCCCAAAACACTGGAATCTCACCTGCCCAGGAACCCCGCCATGTCCCCGAGCCTGCCTGTACGGCCCCGCAGGTCCCAAAGCCAGGCCTGCGTGTTCCTCCAGCCCTCGTGGCTCCAGCTGTGGGAGGAGAAGCACCTGTTGCCTGTTTTTACCCCTGGGACCTTGCCCTGGAGGATGGCCACCAAACCTGGCCCCTTGAAGCCAGAATCCGGGAGAATCTTGACCTCTCTCCGAGCAGCTCAGCGCTCCCCCTGGTGGCCATCCGCTTTTATCTCTGACCTGTCCCTGGCGGCCTGGGGTTCACTGGAGGCCTGTTCCCTGTGGGAAAGCAGCACAAGCAGGTTGTCAGCTGCTTTGCACAGCGAATCAGGAGCATACCTTGGAATTCTCCTGATCTCCACTCTTCCCGGTGGGTTCGCTGGCCCCCCTTCTGAACAAGCAGGGCTTTCAGGAAGAGCTCCGAGCAGGCCCCTCCCCCCGCCCCATTGGATGCCTGCAGCACCGTCGCTGGCCTCCTTGGCTTTGCGGTCGCAGAGCGGGCCCTGTGGTCAGACGCATCTTGTAATTCCTGCTTCCCGTTTTAGAAAGTGTAATTACCCCCTAGCTCTGGGTTTATGGGCAGAGCGGCCCGCGATGCTAGGTAACACACACCCACACACCCACACACACACACACCCCCCACACACGAGTGCATGCGCCACAGTCCCTGGCGGCAGAGGCAAGGCATGGCCCTCCCGGAGTGGTAGGCACCCACAGGACGCTGGATGTGTCCTTTGCGTCCGAGAGGGGGGCGGAGAGCGCCTCCAGCTGGGGCGGGGCCGCGCCAGGGCCCGATGTTGCGGACCGACGGATAGGGAGCAGGGTCGGCAGGTGGCAGCTACCCCAGGACTGGTCTCTCCTCTGTCCTGGACTCCAAGCAGTAGCTGAGAGATGAGCGGCGACCAGCGCCGGGCTTCTGGTTCCCGTCAACTCACTGTGTTTTCCGGCTCCACAGGCCTTTGGGTTCAATCCTCTGGAAGATTATTATGTCTCCAAGTCCGCAGTGGTGTTTGGGGGCTTTTATCTTTTCTTTTTCACAGAGAAGATCTTGAAGATGCTTTTGAAGCAGAAGAACGAGGTGAGGCCCGATTGTTGGGACGGGAGGCTCTCCCAGGGACAGGACCGCCGGGAGAGCTCCTTCAGGTGGCTTAGGGCGGCTCCTGCCGTGGGTTAGGACAGAGGGTCCCCTTGTCACTTTGTGGGGCTGCTAGCAGGGCACGAGGCGCCCCCGGGAGCCAGGCAGCCAGACCAGGCCAACGGGCAGTGATCTGTCCCCTCGGAATTGTCCCAGACATTTCCTTGATACGGGAGAGGGCTTAATAACAGGTACCCTCAGCTGTGCCTGTGACCATGGAGACAGCAGCACTGGGACCATGGTAGCTTCCAAGAAGGATGTCTTTGGTGCCTGGCGTGTAGATTTCGATCGCCTAGGTGGTTGCTGACCTGAATGTGGAGTCAGCGAGCAGCGGTCCCTCCCTGCCCTAAATGCAGTTAAATTTTTTTTTAAAGATTTATTTATTTTATTCAAAAGGCGGAGTTAGAGAAAGAGATCTTCCATCCGCTGGCTCACTCCCCAAATGGCCGCAACGGCCAGGGTTGGGCCCAAGCACTTGGGCCATCTGCTGCTGCTTTCCCAGGCCCATTAGCAGGGAGCTGCATCAGAAGTGGAGCAGCCGGGACTCAAGCCGACTGCCCACGTAGGATGCTGGTGTCGCCGGCGGTGGCTTAACCTGCCATGCCACAATGCCACCCCCGGTTGCATATTTATTTGTTTGAGAGGAGAGAGGCAGAGAGGGAGATCTCATATACACTGGCTCACTTCCCGAATGGCCACAACAGCCAGGCCTGGGCCGGGCCAAAGCCAGGAGCCCAGGACTCCATCCAGGTCTCCCACATGTGGGCAGCAGGGACCCAAGTACTTGAATGAGCCATCTCCTGCTGCCTCCTGGGGTGTGTATGAGCAGGAAGCTGGAGTCGGGATGGAGCTGATATGGGACACAGGCACCCCAGCTGGCACCTTAACCCACCCTGCTGGGAGCCGAGTGTCTGAGCGGCGAGGCCTCACTCCCCGCCCCGGGCACGGCTGCTTCCCCTGCCTTTGCTGGTGTGGCCTCCTTGGGTCTGGCCCGATGGCGGGAGCGAGTTCTTGCCCATGCCTGGGCTCGGTAGGTGCTCACGAGCTGGGCGGTTTTGGTGCACATCCTGACCGCAGCATTTCACACCTCCAGCATCATCATGGGCACAGCCATTACGCCTCTGACACGCTGCCTTCCAAGAAGGACCAGGAGGAGGGCGTGACGGAGAAGCTGCAGAATGGGGAGTTGGACCACATGATCCCCCAGCACTGTGACAGCGAGCAGGACGGCAAGGCCGCCACGGGGGACGAGAAGGTCATCGTGGGCTCGCTGTCCGTGCAGGTCGGTGGCGCCCCGGCAGCGGCCCGGCGGGAGCCTTCCAGGGTGATGGCCTCGGTGGTGACGGGGGCTGCCATGGGCTGCAGTGCTGTGCCTTCCTCTAGGACCTGCAGGCTTCCCAGAGTGCCTGCTACTGGCTGAAAGGCGTCCGCTACTCTGACATCGGCACCCTGGCCTGGATGATCACCCTGAGCGACGGCCTCCACAATTTCATTGACGGCCTGGCCATCGGCGCCTCCTTCACCGTGTCCGTGTTCCAAGGCATCAGCACGTCCGTGGCCATCCTCTGCGAAGAGTTCCCGCACGAGCTAGGTGAGCGCCCACGTCCCGCGGCGCACCTGCGCCAGCGCGGGCACACTTCCTGTGGCCGATCCCATGCCACTCCCTGCCCCCCACCGCACAATGCTCACTAGACCGTGTGAAATCCGCCCAGGAGAGACACTAGCTTAGCACATCTCCAGCGGTGTGTGTTTGCCCTTAGCCCCATTGGGCTTAATAACAGTACCTCCTTATGGTGTTATTGTGAGGACTAGGGGAAATGCGCTATTCTAAGTGCGCGGTCAATGCTGTCTTACCCCAAGAATGTTCGTGAGAAGTCTGGTAGGGGAGGAGGGGCCTGGAGCCAGCAGTGGGAGACACCGGGTTGCGTCCCCCTTGTGAGACTCAGCGTTGACTCAAGGTCAAATCTTGGCCTCGACCTTTAGCAGCTTGTGCCTGTGGGCGAAGGACTTCCGCCTGTCCCTGCCCCAGTCCCAGTTCCGTTTCCTACCAGTACCGTTCACCGCGGTTGCCAGGGAGGGAGTGCCCCCTGTTCCCCAGCTGTCAGGAGCAAGGACACTGCTGGTCGCGCGGGCCTCTAGGCTGCAGGGGCGTGGCCAGCTGGGCAGCCGGGCGCAGGAGGGTGAAGGCCCCTTGGGCACGTGCCTTCAGTGTCGGGTCTGGGCGTTGACGCCTTCTGCCGCCCCCTGGTGCCGTCTCCTCCCGGGACCGCACTCCCAGCCGCCTCCCCCTGCCTGCTGTCCACGCACAGGGGACTTCGTGATCCTGCTCAACGCCGGCATGAGCATCCAGCAGGCGCTCTTCTTCAACTTCCTCTCCGCCTGCTGCTGCTACGTGGGCCTGGCCTTCGGCATCCTGGCTGGCAGCCACTTCTCCGCCAACTGGATCTTTGCGCTGGCCGGCGGCATGTTCTTGTACATTGCTCTGGCTGATATGGTGAGTGTCGGCGGGGGGCGGGGGGGGGGGCGAGTTGGTTTTTTTTTTTTTTTTTTTTTTGACAGGCAGAGTGGACAGTGAGAGAGAAAGAGACAGAGAGAAAGGTCTTTCTTTTGCCGTTGGTTCACCCTCCAATGGCCGCCGCGGCCGGCGCACCGCGCTGATCCGATGGCAGGAGCCAGGTGCTTCTCCTGGTCTCCCATGGGGTGCAGGGCCCAAGCACTTGCGCCATCCTCCACTGCACTCCCTGGCCACAGCAGAGAGCTGGCCTGAAGAGGGGCAACTGGGACAGAATCCGGCGCCCCGACCGGGACTAGAACCCTGTGTGCCGGCGCCGCAAGGCGGAGGATTAGCCTAGTGAGCCGCGGTGCTGGCTTTCTCGAGGCGCCTCTCACACACCTGCGCGGTCGCCTGGTTAGGGAATGTAACGCGGTGGTGTGAAGGACACGGGAGATAGTGAAGCATGGAGTTGATGTTTCCGTTAGCGTAGGTCATTGCAGACAGTGGTTCTGCTCCATCCAGGGCCCTTGTGTAAATGTATAGACGAGGTGCTTAGCAGATACGTGGAGGGAGGAAGAGCATCCCGCAGTCGCTCCAAAGCAAGAAACAAAAGCCCTTGGGTTTGTTCCTTTTTTCTCTTCATGTGTTGTATTTGTTTTCTTTTTTAAAAAAAAAATTATTTATTTGAAAGGAACAGTTAGAGGGAGAGAGAACCCCTATCCACTGATTCACTCCCCAAATGGCCACAACAGCCATTTGCATACTTGAGCCATCCTCCACTGCTTTCCCAGGCCACAGCAGAGAGCTGGATTGGAAGTGGAGCAGTCAGGACTCGAACCGGTGCCCGTGTGGGATGCTGGCACTGCAGGCCCTGCCTTAACCTTCTATGCCACAGCACTGGCCCCAGGACATACATTTTTGAAAACAGTCCGTTATGTCACCCCCACCACATGGAGGAACCAGGCCTCCAGCACAGGAAGCCCTGGGTGTAAGCCACACCCACACGATGGCAGGTGCTGGTGTTTGGTGAGCAAACAAGCTGTAATTTCAGAACTAGATTTGCAGGCTGAAAGAGGACACATGATTTCAGGCCTTTAAAATTCTCTTTATTTATTTATGAGACAGGGAGCTTCCATCCAGTGGTTCAATCCCCAGCTACCCACAACAGCTGGGACGGGGCCAGGCCAAAGCCGGGAGCCAGGAACTCCATCCGTGTCTCCCAGGTGGGAGAGACTCAACTATTTGAGCCATCGTCTGCCACCTCGCAGGGTGCACATTAGCCAAAGCTGGAGTCAGAGCCAGGGCTGGGGCTTGACCCCGGGAACTGTGAGACGGGTGCGGGCATCCCAAGCAGTGGCTTAGTCACCAGGCCCAACACCCGCCCCAGGCATTTAAAATACATATCACCAAATTGTTTGCCAAAGAGTGTCTGAAAGTATACATTGCTCTGTATCTGCTAACATTCGGTGTAACCAATTTTTTTAAGGTTTATTTACTTATTTAAAAAGCAGAGTTAAGAGAGAGGTCTTCCATCTGCTGGTTCACTTCCCAAATGGCCACAATGGCCAGGGTTAGGCCAGGCGGAAGCCAGGAGCCAAGAGCTGGGTCTCCCACGTGGGTGTAGGAGCTGAAGCACTTGGGCCATCCTCCACTGCGTTCCCAGGTGCATTAGCAGGGAGCTGAATCAGAGATGGAGCAGCTGGGGCTCCAACCAGTGCCCACGTGGGACGCTGGTGCCGCAGGTAGCGGCTTTACCCACTACACCACAGCACAGGCCCCTGGTGTAACCATTTAAGTTGTTTGAATTCACTATTGCAATGATGCATCTGTTGCATTTTTTAAAAAGATTTATTTATTTATTTGAGAGGCAGAGCTACAGACAGAATGAGGGAGAGACAGAGAAGTTTTCCATCTGCTGGTTCACTCCCCAGTTGCCCGCAACAGTGGAGCTGCACCGATCTGAAGCCAGGAGCCAAAAGCCTCCTCTGGGTCTCCCACGTGGATTCAGGGGCCCAAGGACTTGGGCCATCCTCCACTGCCCTCCCGGGCCACAGCAGAGAGCTGGATCAGAAGTAGAGCAGCCGGCACTTGAACCAGTGCCCATATGGGATGCCGACACTGCAGGCAGTGGCTTTATCTGCTACACCACAGCGCCGGCCCTGCAGGAGCTTCTTCTAAAAGGGTCTCCCACATGGGTGCAGGGGCCCAAGCACTTGGGCCATCCTCTGCTGCCTTCCCAGGTGCATTAGCAGGGAGCTGGATTGCAAGTGGAGCACCCGGGACTTGAACCGGTGCCCCTATGGGATGCCTGTGCCGCAGGTAGATGCACCGGCTCCTTTGTGTGTTTGTGTGGCACTGATGAGGTTGATTTGTTTCCTTGCCTTGTTTGTCGGCATGGCACGGGCTTAGGCCTGTTGGCATGAATTATTTTTCCATATCCTTTGCATAAAGTACGTTTGAGACCAAGAGAGTGCTGGCCGCCCCAGTGCACATCAGGTCGTGGGAGTGCTTTGGATTCTGCCCTCTCTGGTGGGAGTCTCTCAGGGGGCACTGCTTGACGGTTCATAGCAGCCAGTGGGGCCTTGAACCCCAGCAGTGCTGTCCCTCCATTCTCCGTCCCCTTCAGGGCGGAGATCCTATTGTTCCACCAAGGGCCACATGGATTTGCATGGTATCAGTGGCGGGCTGCACAGATTGCCGGCTTCCAAACGAGCCCCATGCAGACGTAGTGAATTTCAAGTCGTGCCTGCGGTCGCCTCGGCAGGCCCAGCCCCGGCCCCAGTGACTGCAATGGTCCTCACGGATCCACGGGCTGGACACGCCCCACCCCCGCTCCAGTTCCCAAAAAGAGGACGGGGCACTTGACCAGCAGAGAGATTCTCCAAGTGTGTTTGTGAGCCCACAACGAGACACGTGGCTGGTCGGTGCTTTGTTTCCCTAGATCCTCGTGAAGCTGCGGCAGGCACCGGGCTCCAGCGGCTCCCGCTGTTTTCTCCGGCGGCCAGCGCGGTAGCCGGTGCCGCTCTGAGTCCGCCATGGCGTCTCTGCCCCCGCACGGCCTCAGCCACCTGTGGGTCCCAAGGATTTTTTTTTTTTTCCAAAGGATGGCTGTTACTGAGCATGTACAGATTGGTGTTCTTGTCATTCCCTAGATAACACAGCCTGATAACCGTGCGCGCTGCGTTTACATTAGATGCAGTGTTACAAGTCGTCTGGAGTAATTTAAAGTGGACCTGAGCCACCGTGGCTCGGGGAGTTGAACCGCCGCTTGGGACGACGTCCATGCCCCGTGCAGAGCACAGGTTCAAGGGCTGGCCACAGGTTCAAGGGCTGGCCGCTTGATGTCCATTCCAGCTTCTCGCTGATGCACCTGGCAGGGCAGTGGAGGGTGGCCCTAGTGCTTGGGTCCCTGCCACCCACATGGAAAACGTGGGTGGACCAGTGCCTGGCTCCTGGCTTTCCCCTAGGCCCAGTCCCAGCTGTTGCCATTTGGGGAGTGACCCAACAGCGGATGGAAGACCTCTCTCTCCCTGTCTCTCCCTCCTTTCCCTATCACTCTGCCTTTCAAATAAATAAATAAATGATCTTTAGCATACGGGGAGGGTGTATGCAAATTCCGTGCACACACTGTGTTGTTTATGAAGGGACTCGGGCAGCTGCGGAGTGTGGAATTTGCAGGGAACAGGGTGTCCCGGAAGCCGGGCCCTGTGGGTTAGCGTCCCGAGGGCGGGAGAGGGCCTGCAGCGCTGGTTTCTCTCTGCGTCCTCAGTTCCCCGAGATGAATGAGGTCTCCCGAGAGGACGAGAGGAAGGGCAGCGTCTTGATCCCCTTCGTGATCCAGAACCTGGGTCTGCTGACCGGATTCTCCATCATGCTGCTGCTCACCATGTACTCGGGACAGATCCAGATCGGCTAGCGCCCCCGGACCGCCCGGTCCCCGGCCCGGCGTCCGCCGAGTACCACGGAGGCGGCCACGGGTTGAAGCCTGCGACCCGGACTGCGCGTCCCTGTGTTCGGATGTCGGCTGTTGTCACACCGCTCTGCCCTGGGAGTAAGCCGGGCTGGGAGCCAGCCTCTAGGTAGCTCGGTAGCGCCTCGCACCCTGGCCTTGCCCTCTCTCCTCCCACAGCAACTGTAGAATCTCCATGCACCTTCCAGGCCGAGCCTCACCTGCTTCCCTGGTCTCCCTGGCCTCCTTCTCTCGGAATCATCACTCAAGAGATTGCAGATCTCTGTACCCTACAGTGCAAAATCGAGCCGGTGGCCAGCACCTGGCTAGAAGCAGCAGGTGCATCTGGAGTTGGGGCCCGTGAATCTCCGTGCGGGTTCACAGGGGAACCGCAGGCGGCCCGTTCTGAAACCGGTTCTCGCTTGTTCTTAACAGAGAAGGGGCAGGCGGCAGGAACCCCTCCCTCGCAGCTTTCCGAAGCCCTGGCAGTTGCCTGCCTCTTCTCTCAGCAGGCAGCCATCAGGGGAGGCGGGCATCACCGCGGGTCGTTGGAGGGGCAGGAGGCCCAGTGACTTGCGTGTGCTCGCTGGCTCCCCCTGCAAGTGCACAGCTCCCCGGGGAGTCCGCCGGGACGTGCAGGCGCAGGCGGGGACCCTCCTCTTCCTGGCTGTGACCCCCCACCTCCCCTCCCTGGCTCCCAGCTTCCCTTAGAGTAGAAGCACATGCTGAGCACACATCTGCGTCCCGCCAGCACGCTCAGACTCGGAGGCAGGGTGCGCTCCGTGGAGGCAGGGTGATCCAGAGTGGCATCAGGCAGGCAGAATTCAGGACTGGCCCGTCCCGTCCGTGGAAGGACGAGTTCACGGCCGTCTCTGGAACTCGGGCTGCGGCCCCAACGGATGTCGCTGCTGCCGGCGGGTCTGCCCAGGTCGCCGCCTCCTCCCTCAGCCGGGACCCACTGCCGGGTCCTGGGTTGATGATGAAATGCTCTCGTTCTCTCGGGACCGCAGACAGGCCGGCTGCTCTGAGGAGCTGGGGGGCCAGCCTCGGGCACTGGAGCCCCCTCCTCCGATCTCCAGGTTCACTAGGTGAATGGACTTTCCATTATCATATTGATAATGCGAGACCCCTCGGCCCCTTTCTTAGAGGCGCCCACACTTGCAACCCAGGGGCTCGCGTGGGTGACTGGCCAGAGGCCCCAGTCTGTTCTGGCTCCCTCAGTCCTGAAAAGCAGCATCTCCTTTGTTTTCTCTCACTGGACAACAAGCCCCGGGACCCCAACTACTCTTGGGCGCGAGTGGGGAAGCCGCGGGGGCGACTTCCTCGGAGTGGCTCGGTTCTGATCCACCAGCTGTGATGGACGTGGATGACCGCTCACAACTCTGCTAGATTTGAGAACACGCTGAAGAAAAACCTTTGGTGACCAAGATTCTTGGGTCAAAATCAAAACCAACTTCTCCTAGGGTTTTGGTCCACTTTTTTTAACCAAAGAACCAACTCCTCGCGTGTCGGCATCTTTAACGTTTTTGTGTTGTGATCATTATTATTGTTTTAATGCAGTTTCATCTGTGCTTCTTAAACTGCTCTCGGGAGCCGGCAGAAGGTAACACTTGAAACCTAAGACTCTGGGAGATCTTGCTTTACTTAATTCACGTTGATGTGTCAAGTTTGTAGCCTTAGCATTCCCTGTAAGCCCTGTCATTCATTCCACAAAACCATCCCGAGGTAAAGGTAGTGGTTTGTCGTTTAGGAGCTAAAGAGTCTCATCGTTAGCAAAGAGAGAAACAAGCTTTGGACTAGAACAGTGCTTTCCCTGTGTATGTGCACCTGCAGCGACCCAAGAACCCGCCCTCACAGGCAAAGGCTCCTTGTTGGCACCGTAATCGGTGTAGAGGCCAGACCCAAAGTCAAGTTCAAGCTTAGGTCCGGCTGGGACGCCAGGTCGTCTGCTTGTTGAGTTGCCATTGGCAGTGGATTGGCCCTGTGAGAGATGTGGCAGTTCGGCTTTCGTGCGTTGAACTTGGCCGTGTCGGGCATTTGTACACAGGAGACTTCCACAGGGTAATGGGTAGTTTGGAGGACTGTCCATACCCCTGACGTTAGCATCTTCAGCCTTTTTTTTTTTCCTAGACAGACCAGCTCCTAAGTCCTCTTCCGAGGAGGTGATAATATGCCAGAAATCTGCTTTACAGGAAATGAAGTCTGAGTTTTGCAGAGAGAGGTTAGGTTTTTATTGTTATATTCCCTTCACAGTCCTGCAGTTCCACCACAGTATTTTTTTAAATAACTCAGGTGTTATGAGAAGAAATTAGAAGAGAAAATAACTTATATGGACTGTAAATGTTTTATTTGTAAGGTTCTATAAATAAAGCTATATTCTGTAATTGTTGACAATCCCATGTGTGGTCTTTTGTAGTAACCCTGTGGGTGTAATGAAGGTTACTGAACACAGGGGGGCGATGGTGCCTCACTGGTTTGCAAACTTTTTTTTTTTTTTTTTTTTAAACCAGATCTAGCCTCCTTTTTGATTATGGGCTTTTGGGAGGGAACTTACAGGTGAAATATGCTCACTTCAGAAAAGTTTAGTTTCTGTCTAATGGAACATGTGACTTCATCGATAAAATAATCATGCATTCTGGATTTCTTTTTTTTTTGAAAGATTCATTTCTTTGAAAGACGGAGGAGTTAGAAAGATCTTCCATCGGCTGGTTCACTCCCCCAAACGGCCACAATGGCTGAGGCTGGAGTGTCATCTTTGTCTCCCACGTGAGTGTGGGGGCCAAGCACTTGTGACATCTTCCACTGCTTTCCCAGGCTCATTAGCAGGGAGCTGGGTGGGAAGTGGAGCAGCCGGGACAGGAACCAGCGCCCATATAGGATGCCAGCACTGCAGGTCACAATGTAACCACTCTGTCCCAGCACTGGCCCCATGCTGGGTATTTAATTAATGGGTGTGGTTGTCCATGTGGTGGTTGTTTTTTTTTGGAGGGGGGATTGTTTTATTGAGAGGCAGAGAAAGTCTTCCTTCTGCCGGTTCACCCGGCAGGTTCGCGAGCACTTGAGCCATCGGCTGCTGCCTCCCTGGGTGTACATCAGCAGGAAGCTGGAATCAGGAGTGGAGGCAGACCTGGAACCCGTGCACTCCAGTGCGGGATGCGGGCGTGCCCAGCAGACTAACCCGTGACCGATTCCTGCCACAAAAGAGAGAGCTTTCTGTCACCCATTTTCTCTTGTATAAGTCCATGTTTTGAAACTTGCAGTGTTGGTTTAGATTCTTTAAACGACATCTGTATGTCTTACAGGGGGGGTCCTTGTCACCTCTCAAAAGACTTCAAATTCTACACTTTAGTTCCACGGTCTGGCCTCTGTTGTTTATGTTTAACAATAGAAATAAGCAGTAAGGGGTTGCAGTGCTGGGACACAGTGGGTTCAGCCCCTGTCTGCCTGGACGGCATCCCATATGGGCACCGGTTCAAGTCCCGGCTGCTCCACTTCCAATCCAGCTTCCTGTTAATGTGCCTAGGAAAAGCAGGGGAAGATGGCCCAAGTCCCTGGGGCCCTACACTCGTGTAGGAGACGTGGATGGAGTTCCAGGCTCCTGGCTTCTGCCTGGCCCAGCCCTGGTCATTGTGGCCATTTAGGGGGGTGAACCAGTGGATGGAAGATCTTCTCCCTCCCCCACCTCTGCCTTTCAAATAAATTAATCTTTAAAAAGAAAAAGTAAGCGAAAAATAATTGGTTCAGAGATTCCACAGTGCCTCCTTGTATTTTTATTGTTGTTTTAAGATTTTATTTATTTGAGAGAATTATAGACAGTGAGAGGGAGAGACAGAAAGGTCTTCCACCCACTGGTTCACTCCCCAATGGCCACAATGGCCAGAGCTGAGCCAGGAGCATCTTCCAGGTCTCCAATGTGGGTGCAGGGGCCCAAGCGCATGGGCCATCTTCTGCTTTCCTAGGCCATAGCTGAGAGCTGGATCAGGAGAGGAGCAGCTGGGACTCGAACCGGTGCCCATAAGGGATGTTGGCACTGCAGGTGGGGGATTAACCCACTATGCCACAGCGCCGGCCCCACCTCCCTGCATCCAGGGCTCGTGTGGGTGTCTTGATTGGCATCACCTTGCAGTAGGATATTCCCTCTTCGCTTCTGGCCGCTCCTTTCCTGCCACCTCCCCGCCGCCTTCCCAGGCTGATGCAGTGGCTGCGGACTCCGGCTTATAGGACTTGCATTGCAATTTTGCTATTGGCTTTTACACCACATTCCTTCTGGCTGGAGACACTACCTGGCTTCCTGCTGGGGATCTCAGTACCCACTGGCCGCGGCGTGGATGAACCGGAGGACCAGATGCGGTGTTGCGAATGACCCCTCCCCGTTGGCTGCAGTGCCCACAGTGTCTTCCTGTCATTGATGGTGGTTTTCCTTATGCCTGTTCCCCGGTCCACCTTTATTTAGAAACCTGAGTTTGAGAGGTGAATTTATGACCCACAGAGAACAGAGCTAAGCAAAGTAAACAGGCCATTAAGAAGCTTAAAACCTTGACCTCAGCCATCTCCTTGGAAGACTAAAGCGGCTAAGCCACGTCGGGCATTTTTGGCGTGGAAGGTGGAACACGCTGACATCCAAACGGCGCCATGCTGATGGGTCAATGCTGTCCCCCCTGTTGCTTCTGCCTGTTCCTGGTGACCGTCAGATCTGAGTGGAGGGAAACCCAGTTCCCGAGGTGATGAGACACAGTCGACAGCCAGAGCTTTCTCTCGCAGCTTCTGCACGCTTCCTGGGTGTGAAGCACCTGCCTCTTCAGATGGAGGGCAGACCCACATCCCCTTCTTTCTCCCGGAATAGACTGAATTCACATTCTTCTCAGGATAGATGACTCTTTTTTTAAATCATAGAAAAAAAAGCCAGTGTTTGGCAGAGAGCCAAAGGTTCTTAGGCGCCAGCCAAGAGGTGCTAGCCAAGGGCCAGTTTTCTTTCTGAAAACACAACCCCTTCTTGCTGTGTCCTTGCTGTGTCCCCGTAATGTTTGACCCTGGCTTTGGGTGGGGTTCCCAGGTCGTAGCATCTGTTATAGTTAAGGAGTAACCCGGAAGCACGCCAGCCTTGGCAATCATAAGCCAAGAAGCGGTTCTTTCGCCACCGGGCGCTGGGTGTTTTTCCTGTGCTTGTGTTTTGCTGGTAGGCCTGTGGACTGTTGAGGTTGCCAAGAATAAATTTAGACGCCAATCTACCCAGCCATCAGCAAATTCCCCGGGGAGGATCCCTAACCAGAAACCTCTGGGGGAAGCCATTCTGAACGACATTCCCTCAACCTTGTGGGTTTTAAGACAAAAAACAACCAATTCAATAAAGGCAATACTTTTGTTTTTGTTTTGCTTTGCTTAAAATAAAAGATAAGGTCTTTAATTATAGATGCTGGTGAGGAAGATAAAAAGTCTCTTTGATCTTGAGAATCCTCCCAGAGTAGACTTTGTTAGCTGTCTGTTCCTGGTAACTTCTAAAGGTTCAGGGAAACAGGCTGTTTTGAAGCCGTTGCCTGCTTGTATCCCAGAGACGTGACCTTGAGAAGAAATATGTGTTGAAGGCACACAGTTTAAGCATGGTAGTAATTCTCCAATTAATGCCAAGCTTTTTGTTTTGTTTTGTTTCTCCCTCTTGAAACTGGGTGAACAGGAGACAGAGCTGCTGGGATTTAGATTCTTTTGTTCTCTTTTCTGGGAAAGCTGATTTTTGGAAAACATTAGACTGCACTGATTCCTTTCTGTAGAGGGTTTGATTACAATTCTAAAAAGGGTAAATGAGATCCAAACAGGAGAGACCTCCGCGCATCTTCATTTGGCTCTAAGGGGTATTTTATTCCTGCACATCTGTCCTCCTAATTATGTTCTACATGAACTTGTTTAAAATCTAAAGCTGTTGGAGCTGGCACTGTGGCATAGTAAGCTAAGCCTCTGCCTACATCCCAGTGGGCACCCAGTTCAAGTCCCAGCTGCTCCACTTCTGATCCAGGTTCCTGCAATGGCCTGGGAAAACAGTGGAAGGAAGATGGCCAAAGTGCTTGGACCCCTGCACTCAAGTGGGTGACCCAGAGGAGGCTCCTGGCTTCAAACTGGCCCCGCTCCAGCTGTTGCAGCCCTTTGGGGAGTGAATCAACAAATGGAAGATCTCTCTCTGTCTCTCCCTCTCTCTCTAACTCTGGCTCTCAAATAAATGAATAAATCTTTAAAAAAAAAAGAGGTATTTATTTCTGCACATCTGTTTTCCTAATTACACTTTACATTAACTTTGTTTGAGGCTGTGGGGCCAGCGCTGTGGCGTAGCAGGTTAAGCCTCTGCCTGCAGTGCCGGCGTTCCATATGGGCACCAGCTCAAGTCTCGGCTGTTCCACTTCTGATCCAGGTCCCTGAAAATGCGCCTGGGAAAGCAGCGGAAAGTGATCCAAGTCCTTGGGTCCCTGCACCCTGGTGGGAGACCCAGAAGAAGCTCCTGGCTCCTGGCTTCAGCCTGGCTCAGCTGTTGTGGCCATTTGGGGAGCAAACAAGTGGATGGAGGATTTCTCTTTCCCTCTCTGTCTCTCTCCTTCTCTCTCCATATTTCTGCCTTTCAAATAAGTAACTCTTTAAAAATAAATAAAACCTCAGGCTGTGTGGAAAGACCGCCTTAATCTAGCTGCTACTAGTGTTTTTTTCACTGGAAACCTTACACAGCCTTGGTAGCTAGCTTCCGTGAGGAGGCCCTTGGAAAGCACCTAGGTTTGATGACTTGGGAAGCGGTGATGAGCAAGGACCAGTACAGACCCGCTTCCCCAGAGCTGGCCCCTCTGTCTTCAGCAGAAAGAGCACAGGAATTTTTCTTTCTTTCTTTTTTTCCAAAGCCAGGAGCCAGAAACTTCATCCAGGTTTCCCACGTGGGTGCAGGGGCCCAAGCATCCGAGCCATTTTCTGCTGCTTTCCCAAGCCCCTTAGGAGGGAGCTGGATTGGAAGTGGAGCAGCTGGGACTCGAACCGGCGCCCATATGGGATGCTGGCATAGCAGGCGGCGGCCTTACCCCACTACACCATAGCGCTGGCCCCAATGATGTAACAAGACACAGAGCTTAGGTGTTTCAGGAATGACAGAACATGACGGTGCACAAGACAGACACAGAAGTGCTACCGGGACATTAGCAGGGTAGCGAGGCAGAGGAGGGCGGAGGGTGTGCTTTGAGCTACAGTGGGCAGGAAGTGACGGGCTGAGGAGCCACAGCTTTGCAGCCAGCTAGGAGCCTGCCCCCAATCAGAACCAGCGAATGCAAGCGTCCTGGGAGAGAAGAGCGTGGGCTGTTTGAGGTCACACAGAGCCAATCCGTGTGGGGAAGAGTTCTGAGGTGAGCCTTTGAGAGCCTCTAAGCAGGGGG